GTGAGTTCACTGTGTCAGTCCCGGTGCCGAATACGCAGAACGAAGAGGCGACAGCAGCGCCCGTCCCACCCGAACTTCCGCCTGGTGTTCGCGTGAAGTCGTATGGGTTAATCGTCTGACCACCTAGAGAAGACACGCTGATGCCTTCCAAAGCTAGTTCGTGCAGGTTAGCCTTGCCTAGGATGATGGCCCCTGCCTCTTTGAAAGCAGCCACGCTTGGAGCGTCTTCAGATGGTTGCGAACGCGCCAAAGCCAAGTTTCCACCAGTAGTTGGCATGTCTGCTGTGTCGTAGTTGTCTTTGAGCAGTATCGGGACGCAAAAGAGTGGTCCAGTAGCATTCCCAGCCAAAAGTTGGTCATCGAGCTCATCGGCGATAGCCAAAGCATTGGGATTCAATGTGATGATTGCGTTCGTTCGGTTGTTGTTGGCTTCAATTTTAGACAGGAAAGAAGAAACCACTTCGCGGCAGGTTGAGAGTCCGGAGTAGAGCGCGTGGTGGACTGAGTCGACGGTCGCTTCCCTTGCATCGAAAGGCATGTTTTGTCCAGCCACCATCTGGCAGAGGGCTGCGAATGCGAGGCGTGTGAAGTGCACCATTCTGGATAATGCTCAGTCTGTGTACGGAAGGCGCGGCCTGCGGACAATTACCAACTCATCGGAACTGCCATTTATACATCTTCTCATCTCAACGGCTTGTCATACATCACCGCGGGTATTTATCGCGACTGCAATTGACGCGAAAATCCCATGTTAGCATGTAGTCACCATGCTTGCTAATGCAGGTGCCGATGTCTTGTTCCGATCTTATCGCGGGTAGCCTTACCCAAACCCCGAGCATCGGAATGACGTCGTTGCCAAGACCTCATCCACCTTCTTCATCAGTTCACGTACAACCAGGCAGCTGCGTAGTCTACTAAACTTCACCATTTCTGTTGCATGTATTCTGCAAAGTTCAAAATGCATGATCGCGCTCGAATCAATGAGCAGAGATATCATGGTAATGTTGCATGCTTTGGCTCAGAATTTCGGGTATCCACAGACGACGAAAACATGACGTGAAGATGTTCCCTTCTGAATAGCTTGAGCAGTGATAGGATATCATAGGATGGATATTCAGTCCTCTTCCAGCTCCATGACAGCGATAGCAACAGATTTTGGTTGTAAATTGTAGGACTGCTGATGTTGGAATGATCATAAGTCGGGGGCCTTTTTATACCCAGATCTTACTCTTTCTTATTTCGGAAAATAGACAGAGCCATTTCGCGACCATAAATTACCTCATAACGCTAATGGGGTATCCTCAACTCGTGTAGAGTGTCTGGAAACCCTTTCGTAGTCGTCAAACACCAGAAAGCAACATGTTTCGATGATCCATGAATTTTGAAGGCGAGAAAAGGCAGCCCGACACATGACTAATGCATTGTGAGCATTCGGAAAGCGAGAAAAAGATGCATACCACATCGGTTAATAGTAACTGCGTTTAGAAAAAAAACCAAATGTGCGTAATAGAAGTAAGGAGATAAAATTCGAGGCAGGAGTTGATTTTATATCGCACAGCAGCGCCAGGACAAGCAAGGCCACATTGCCATCATCGATTAGCATCTATGCTTTTATCGCGTGTCTCGCGTTTCTCTGCGCAAAATGAAATCCTTCTGCTTTGTCGTGATTTTGAGGTTTCGCTACGCTTTAAACATGGATCTAGCCGTGTCGAATCTTTAAATGTCTTCACAAGGTTCCTAGACATGAGAAATTTTGTTCATCATGTGAAATGAAAGAGAACAGACTTCGGCAGCCACATCGTAGTGCCATCGGTAAAGTTTGATGTAGGACCATGGGGTTGATTCAGTAAAGTCGTAAGGTGTGCACCAAACGCGCTCTTCGGTTTCATTACGGGATGTGCTCCGCGTTTTGAATGACCGACTGGGCGAGGACGAGAACACATAGTTGATAGTGATCTGCATTTTGGAGTGAAGATCTCGGGATTTTGGTGCAAGAATAAGGAAAAAAGACAGACGAAGAAGTCTTTATAGCAAAGCCAAGGATGACGCACACAACCACATGGCAGAAAAGAGTCTTGATTTGGACTCCGACTCTATGGACATGGCCAGGAGCAGACTATGATTTTTGAGATAGATGTTTGGACTTTTGCTCCATCGATTTGGCTTTCGCGCACTCCCATGACTCTGAGGATGTTGCATTTGAACGACTCGAAACCACACATGGAGGTTGAGGCCGGAATTTTTAATGAAAGAAGGAAATGTTTGGAATCATGAAGACAGCAAGCAAAGACGCTGAGAGGGCTTTATATGAGGATTAGCGCGAACAATGTGAGTGTATCGGGTAAGGCTCATGCCTGGCCGGAGCGGTGGTAGATCGCGCCACGAGAGGCGGCTGCGATGCGTGTCGCATTCTGCACGTGATAAGAGGTAGAAGTATACATTGGCTTAGAAGCTATCAACTTATGAAGACTACATATTATATATGCAGTAGAACGCGACGTGAGTTCTAGCAACCTCTGGTGGTGCATGGCATAGACGTGACCTCATGCGGCATCGCCCACACGTGCCTGGAAATGAGTTGGAAAGAGTCAGCGAGCTGACTTCGCAAAATAGTTTGTATGTATTGCGTTAGTGATGAGCTGTAATCTATGTATACTTCTCAGCCGTCACGCCGCCACCTTCTTTCGCTGCCGTCTTTTGTAGCGCTCCCTCCAATCTGCTGCCTTCCTTTCTTCACAGTTGGCAATGTGCCGGTCCCTCGTAAAAAGCCGACGCGACTCGGAACGGGGAAGGAGGAGCGCGTTCGCGTGGTGGCGGAGTTTGGTGTTTCGCATCGCGAATTGTGGGCACAGGGGTGCTGTAGGCGGGCCGCGATAGCCGAACCTCGACGCAATTTGCCACGACCAAAGGCAGAGCGAACAAACTCAATGGGCCTTATTGACAGACGCAATGGCTGATGCAACGGGGTTTGTAGCGGGATGCCGTCGTGGTCTTGGGATAGAAGCCGGGTGTGCACTTCGTGGGAAGTTTCCGGCGGCGACTGTCGTTCGTGACGTCACAGGCCAGTCGAAGTCATGCTCTGAGAAGCAGGCGAATCGTAATGTCGATGTTCATGGGTAATGCTTCTTGCCGGACACCTCAAGGCGTGTTTTGTTGGCCGGACCGTAAGATCTTTCCCAACATCCAGTGCGCGAACTGCAGGGCTGGCATGATCATCGCAGCGACAAGCCGCGATACGCTGTCGTGCAACTTCCACAACACCGTCTCTTGCCATGCGTCCACGTCAATGTTCCTAGCTTGGTCCATTTGGTCTTCAATCTGCCGTCGCAATCTCACAGCTTTGCTTGGCAGTTCGAGACCCAGGGCAAGATACAGCCCAACAATAATCCATTCCATGATAACTTGCCTACAAACATTAGCAAATGAGGCAGACTTAACAAAAATCGTAATACTCACATGCACAATTGCAGAGTAACGTTACCACTGATAACGTTGAAGCGCATGCTCTTCCAACCATCGCTACCTTCGTTGGCACGCCACCGCTCAAACGCGAAGCACATCATGTAGACGACATCGACGACGAAGAACGGCAGACTCATAACGACGGTCGTCAGAATCCGCACCTCGTCCCTGTCGGCAAGGTAGAGACGCGCTGAGATGACCGTGGTAGACCAGATGAGGACGAGGAAACACGCCAAGTAGAGCGAAACACCGGCTTTAGTGGCTTCCGTCGCTGCAAAAGTGGGTCCGTCTCGAGAATCCGGATCGATGCCGCCCGCCACGATAAGAATGAAGGAGATGATGAGCGGAATGTGAACCATGAGCAGGATCCATTGCATGCGTCGGCCCTTGGGGCGCGTGGTCGTGTTGAGCAAGCTACTGGTGGCCATAAACAACGGCGTGAGCCCCATGGTGGTGAGGATGGCAACACCGCTTTCCAGGGTGGTGTTCGGCGCTGAAAATTTCGGAAACTTGGTCGTGGCTGCCAAATCGAGCGACACCTGCGTGAGGCGACATATGGACAGCAGGGTGAGCCAGATCCATGGCGAGCTGTGGCCCAGGCCCTGGCGGATGATGAGCCAGATGGAGACGACGAGGTAGAGGAAGAACATGACAAGTGTCGCTATGTTGACAGTAGCCGGGTAGGTAACGATACCCACCTCATTTTGCGAGGACACCATTGAATGCGAGACATTGGGGTTCTGGACGATGGGGGTTTGGAAGCAAAGGGGACGCGGGTCTGGAGAGGTTGGCACCAGCTCCAAGAGGCTTCATCGCTAATTCCGCTGTCCGAGCGCTCCGCCTCAACGCCAAGCGCGCTATCACGTGTTGGCGTGCAAGCGGATTCCAGACCTCGAGCCTGTCATGACGTTGTGACGTGCATTGTCGCACACAATAATTGTAATCCCGACTCAAGCATTGCTCTCCCACAACGTTACGCATCTCCATCGCTCTGCATCGCTTCTCAACGATGTCCACGATATTCACGCGCGCACATCCGGACATTGGCATCGTCCGATCGCATCGGCATCGCGCGGAATTGCACTCGGTGATCACGCTGCAGGTTGCCACCTAGCGGGCAGTGCCCCCGTAAATCGTCATCGCACTAAGAACGGACCACCGTGCTGCGCCTATTCGACGTCAGTAATTTCACGTCACGATCTCCATGTTTCAACGCGTCTGGTGTTGCGATGAGGATGTGCGATGTTGCGCGTCGGGTGGGCAGCAAAGGATGGATTGTCAAAGTTGTAATTCTATGAAAAGTATGTATGCAACTGAAATCCAGAAAACCATCGTAATAAAACAGTACTCTCGCGCAACCTTCCGTACGCGTGTATCTATCTCTCCAGCTCAGCCAGTCTTATCGACCGCGTCTTTTTTGTCCACTTTCTTCGCTCTCGAGGGTCGCGGTAGTCGAAGCCAGATACCGCATCGCTACTCAGCTCCGATGGCTCGCGGTGCGATGTGGTATTTCAAGATCACTTAGCAAACGTAGTCCACTACCGCCCGTATCCCATATCGAGCAAAGCTGGATCGATATTGGGGTCGGACGCCAAAGTCTCTTCAAGCCCGGACTCATTGTGCCTGGTCAACACATCGACACCGCTGTCTCCCCTCTCCATCGCCATGTCATCTCGGCGCCGTTTCTCCGCTGCTCGATGCGCGGCAGCAAGTGTCTCCTCCGCGTTCCTGGCCTCCGAGTATTGAGCGTGCATCTGCGCGTTGTGACTACCAGGGCCACCCATCTCATCCTGCTGTGGATGAGCGTATGGTCCCTGTTGCCAACCCGCCGCCAGCTGCTGCTCATGCATCTGCGCCTGCTGGCAGGCCCAGTAGGCGGCTTCGTCCCGCTGCCACTTGTGGCGCAACTCCTCGAAGATAGGACCCCACGGAGGAGGCGGGAAGCGCGAGAGGAGATACACAAGATCGGTCCTCGAATTGTATCCTGGCTGCAATTCTCTTGCTCTCGTGACAGGTACCCACAGAAGGGGAAATGGCCGTGGTACCTCAATGCCCTCGATCTTGTCAGGGAGCAGCCTCTGTTTGTTCAGACGCTCGCTGAACTCGTTCTGCTGCTCCACCGTAAAGCCGGTGTGGTTGTCTGGGTAACATGGCGGCCCCATAGGCGGTGTTGGGGTGGGCATTACGCCCATGTTGGCGCTGGGAGTAGACATTACCGCCATGTTGTCGCCGAAGTTTGACATCTTGAACCGGGGAGACGATAAGACTGGGATTCAGTCTAGATGGTTGAGGTGTCGGTGGGGTGGGGAGGCTACGAGACTGGGTTTCAGTCAAGATGCCTGGGTGTCGGTAAGGTGTGGAGGCTACAAGACCAGGGTTCAGTTGGGATGGTTGGGGTATCAGCGGAGTGTGGAGGCTACAAGGTGGGTCAGAAAGGTGTTGTGTCAACGTTGTAATGGAGGTAGGCGTCTTACTGCTGCTTTGGTTGTCACTAACAGGTTTGTAGTCTTGAGAAGTCACTAGAGTCGTATGAGTAGTCACGGTCGATAAAGTCGATGATGGCAGAAGAAAGTGCGTTCAGCCTGCTTATATACTGTTACCTCGCACTTTCCTGTTTATTGCGAAAAGCCCAAGATCCGCCCGCAACTATGGTTCAGAATTAAAATGCGTCTGACTCCTCGCTCGAAGACACTCCAATACGTGATTTCGGAGCGAATCCTCGCTTGCCATCACAATACCTCGCTTGCCATTTGTCTACTGGACCCGCTTCAAGAGCAAGACACAGAGTTCATTAAATGCGGAATACCAAACCCCCCACATGAGCATAGTCATCGCCGCAAATAGCTTATCTCAGGCAGCAACCAGATAAAACGCCCAAGTCCTTCTGATATTATGCGTCAAAGCGCAGAGTCTACCTTGGTTGGAGTCGCGTGACTACTTTTCTCCTTACCAATCGCACCTACCCGGTTCTAATCACTAGCGGACCGGCCCGCCCGCCAGTCACGAAGCGGACATTTACTCCGGCCTAAATTTGACGACAGCACTGCGTATGGACTGGGTCGGATGAGGATGCATCGGATAGTGCATCGGTTGGCCAAAGCCGCAAGGCGACGGTGAGCCGGTACGTAGGTGTGCTCTTCGGAAGACTGCGCAGCGAGCCTAGCTTCACATGGCCACCAGCCCATTAACCATCTTTCAACAATTCCCGTCCATCCAACTCGTAACACTCGACTGCGCCATGTAACTCAGCCCTATTAGCATGCGTCTCCATCTCATGCCTGGCAACTGCGACATGTAATTCTATCCTATTGCCATTCGTTGCCATCTCATGTCTCTCAACTGAGACATGTAGCTCAGCCCTATTGCCATCCGTCTCCATTTCGTGCCTTGACGTATCAAATCCGTCAAGCTCACGTTCGAGGCCCTTCTCTCCGTCCTTATTTGGCCGTGTTTGGCTGCGCGTGATCTCCTTCACTTTCGTGACCTTCCTCCGTTTGGAAACCAGGCGCACGCTTGCGCAAAAGATGACCAAAAACAGCGCGCCGCAGGGTATGCCTGCTGCCAAAGCGATTTTGGCGCTGGGAGACAGACGCCGGGCGGATGTATGTGTTTGTGGCGGCAATGCGGAAGAAGTCGGCGTAATCTTTGTCACACTGGTGCTTGCAAGAGCAGAATTATGCGCTCTACTCTGACTGCCTGCCTCGGTAGTGGCTTCAGAAGCCTCGCCCCCAGTACGCAAAGAGACCGCCGCGTTCATCGAATCTGAAGACGCAGGCATAGGTTGTAGCGACGTAGTTGTAGTCATAGTCTCCTCGGCCGTCCACCCAGCATCGTGCCCGCTCGTACTCGTCGTCTCCAACATCGTGGTTTCCCCAGCTGATGCCGTGGACGAAACGGAAGTATCCTCACTCGAAAAACCACCACCACGGCCATTACGACCCCTCACACTCCCACTCCCACACACCCCCTCCACATAATCCTCCGCGTCCTCAAAGTCTTTAGCCTCACACCCCTCATCCAGCACATCCCTGCCCACTTCCTCATCGCCGCATTTCCCTAGGCCAGCAACGGGCCGATTCCGACGGTAGCAGGTACACGCGGGGTTCATGGGTGCATAGAGGTCGCAGAATTCGTTGTTGGACCCGTGGAAGGTGATGGTTTCTATGACGCATTTTTCCTGCGATGGGGGTAAGTGAGTGAGGGCGCGGTCGGGGGTTGCTGGGGAAAGAAGGAAGGCTTACAGCGCATAAAGATAGGTCGGATAACAGGATTGCGGAGGCTTGTCGTTGCCGTGAGGAGATTACGAGGAGGAAAATGAGAGAGACAAGCATTATGGAGTGATGTCGCTGTCGAGTGTCTCGAAGGAATAGAAAGATAGCTTAATGTGAGTGTAATACATCATGGGTATGCTGTATCTCCGAAAATCACGATGGGGAGGCCGGTAACGCGCAGTGTGGCGCCTCTCAGGTTGCCTTTAGTGTCCGCATCCGGATGAAAGAAAGGCCATAACACCTTCATTGACAACACGCGAATGTCGAGATGAACAGCAAGGCTCACCCTTCCTCTTGGCTTCCTCACCGAACAGTCATGACCATACACATTTTATTCATTCCTCGTTATCAACTACTACTCAAGCAATCCCATCCATCGATCCTGTTCGTCCCCTGGTAAGACATGCTTCGTATGCCATGTGCAATCTCAATGACGTATCCAGTACGATACCAATAGCCTTCTCTGTCCAAGCCATGTTATCCTCCCATATCCACTTCCTCAATCAATCTCTTCTTATCCAATTTACCTGCGAAAGACCACCAATCGCTCAATGGTCGGGAGCACATGCATTACATGGCTCGCCACCAGCACGCTCTGTCGCAACAGTGATGTTGACCAGACCGCAAGATTCCTTTCCGATAGTGTAGTCTGAGTAATCAACGGCTGCCGGCTCGTAGGTCTGGCGTTGGTCAGGTCGGCCCTGTGGTGCGGTGGGGTTGGGGAACGGGGCGGTAGCATCGATGGGGACACCGGCAGCGTTGCCGCGACCGCCGTACAGGCCATTGCCACGGTTGTTGCGGTGACCATGGCGGGGTACTGTGTAGTACGTGGGAGGGTGCGCGTTGCGAGGGCCAGATGGGAAACCAACCCAGGGTTGTGGGTTAACGCCAAAGTGACGGGGAGCGTTGCTGTTGGCGCGGTTGCTGTTGGCGGTCTGTTCGATCAAATTGAGCTGGTGTGCGAAAGGCTGGTTTGGAACAGGCTCGAGTATCTGCGGGGGTGACATCATGCGACTAGAACTGGGATGGTAGTTTTCTTGGTGAGTCTCCTCCTGACGTGGTCTAGTAGGGAGCGGCGGAGGCGGCATCAGCTCTGCGGATGTCATGCGCTGCTTCGCTGCGGCCGAAAGAGGAGTCGCTAGTCCGGGGTTGTTGATGGGGACCGCCTTTGAAGCATAAGGCGCGGCATCGGCTGGAGAGGAGATAGACTTGCGCGGGTTCTTGTTTGGCTTGTACTTCTTGGGCGACTTTGGACGACCGTTGCGGTAACCCTGTTCGTAAGCAAACTGTACGCCGTACATGTACCAAAGGAAAGGTACACCGTTTCTATCGAGCACCGTCGCATCCGGCAGGTCGGCTATGTCGAGAGATTGACTGAGAGGTGTGTTCTCCGTGGTAGCGTCGATCGGACTGGTCGTGGTCGGAGGCTGAGGTACGAATTCCGTAGCAGTTGCGCGAAGGTCCGAGCCCATACTAGATTGCGATGAACGCCCGCTGTCTGCTTGATTACGATCACTGGGTACATACCGTTCACTCCGCCCTCTGGATGAAGACGTGTTCTCGACATCATCGACTCGGTTCGTAGAGTCGGAAACAGCCTCGTGTTGTTGGGTGTTGAGGTTCAGATTCCCTATGTCCAAATTGTGAGCCATCATGACGACGATCGTGGGTACGCTGATAGGACGTGTGAGCGTCGTACCATGAGCAAGACTTGTCGGAACACCCCATGGCACGTTCTTGGGTTGTACGGCGTTATGCGCTGCCTCTTCATCGACCTTGAACGTTTGAGCGTGCTCGTAGCTAGCATCACATCCCGGTGCGTCGTTTGGCTGGTCTGGGCTGGTGACATCGGCCGAAATGGCAGGGCCCTTGCCGCGAGTGGACTGGTTTTGGTCATCTTCAGAAGCAACATCAGCCATTCCACTATGCTTGTGTGACCCAGAATTTCGCGAAATGATCGGAGTCGAACCGGTGCTGTCGACGGTGCGGACATGGCGTAGAGGGGCCGGCGCGGGCGTCGCGGGTAGGGGGATCTGGATAGCATCTAACTGGGCTGCATCCATCTGCATGGCTAGCTGTAGCTCCTTGATCTTCTTCTGCAATGACTTGACAGATTCGACGCGCTTGATGGTGCGTACGGGGGGCGCGGTCTTGCTGCTGGTGCCGGCTCGGGGAATGCGAGACACCTGGGTGGGCGATTCCGGACTCAGCGGACCGCCGGCAACGCGAGAGTCCATGGAACCTTCGTGATTGTCACGGCCAGGCGTAGGAATGACAAGCGAAAGCCTCGGTGTCAATGACTTTCGCTTTCCTTCAGCGTTCGTTCTCGCGGTGGCAGATCGCGGACTACCGGACTCGTGCTGCACCTGCTCATCATCGCTGTCAGCATAAAAGTCGACACTGGGGACGTCAAGGTCTTCAGGGTTCTCTGCAGCAGATTGGAAGCTATGCTCCGTGCTTGCAGGACTCCTTACTGGCGACCCTTGTGCAGTGTGAAACGAAGCCCTGCCAGTGGAAGTCGCAACGCTGCTAGATGCTCGCGAGTGTCCTGCAGAAATTGAGTCGGTGTTGAGGTGTGTTGGCTTGGTCGGCGACATGCGGAGGGAGAAGCTTGACTGGTGACGCGCGCTGCTGCGTAGAGGCGACCCGGTGGGACTGTTCCATGGCCGCTTCGTTGGAGAGCCATGCAGTCTGCTGGGGCTGAGCGGGGACGTGGGCGATGCTATGGTGCTATCGACAGTAGCTAGGGCTTCCTTTGTAAGAAACGTTGCGCTGTCCTTGCCATGAGCTCTACTGAGATCGACGGAACTGCGTGTTCCACGCAGTGTCTTGACTTCATCCGGAGAGTCACTATCCCATGCTGTCTTGGATGTACGCGCCTTTGCACGCTG